GGCCTTAACCCCTATAGAGCCAAATTATTCAGTGTGATGGTCACCAACAACAATAATATTGGCTGAAGGATAAAAAGAAAGAGCATGGTCAATTTGATAAGAAATAACATCGAAAAGAGTGCATTCTTGAGATGAAGGAGAGCAATTTAGAACAAAGCAAAAGGCATTAGAGCGAAGTGGTGCTAAACAAAAGCACATAAAAGAATAGTCTGTGGATTCAAACCTAGTTTCCTGACAAATGGATGAATTCTTACGAATGTAAATGCCCGGGCCAAGCATGTGACTATTATAGTCTTTATGAATAAAAGGAAGATAACTGTCAACTCTAAGTTCACAAGATGAGACAGCCAAACTCAAATTAGGCTCACAAAGAGCAAGTAGGTCTGGTGAACTATGCAAGAGATAACACTCAACAGAAGAAAAGTTACTTAAAAGGCCACAAATGTGATTGTTTGATCAAAAACAAAAGTGAATGATAGATCTAGAGAACTTGCCTTGGTTTTTTTGTGTTTTATAGTTTTTGGTATTTTAGTCATTTTTAAATTTGTTAAAGAACTTGACTCAATGCACAGATAATGCTCAGTACACTATTTAATAGTTCCAACAATTGCCTCGTTACTATTAATAAACCCTTAGCCATAACAAAGGGCTCCAAATGTGAACTCGACAATGCACACCAAAAGTACAAACAGGGATGCTATCTATGCGCAACATGACACTGTTAGTACTTTGATATTTTACAACTTTTGATGGAATCAGTATCTTTGAGAGTTACAACAGATTTTGGGAAATCTGACTAACAGCTTCAGAACTATAAAACTGAGTTTTGGAGCTGTACTCTCATTAGAAGACTCAAGCAAAAGTCATGGATTGAGTCTAGAAGATCCAGCATTCAACATTCTAAACTGAAAACAATGTATTATAAATACATCTACGCCTAATAGATGAAGAAGAGGTGTGATGCTTCTATTCATCTGAAATTAAAAATGAACTGCTATTAATATATTTTTTTATTCTGATTCACTCCCAGCAAGTTATAGAAAACGGTTGACAGAAGACTTAAAAAGTTGAAGATTGTATGAGTCAGGAAAACATGAAGATGGAAGAGAGTTCTAAAGCGTTGAAGTGCAGGGAAAAAAGATAGATAAATAAAAATTTTTAGAGCATGCAGGGACAGACACAGTAAAAGAATGAGACTTTGCTGAATGATGTTTCAAACAAGAATGAGTTTTAGTTGATGGAACTAGAGATGATAGTTCTTTCGAGCAACGATCATTATAGTATTTGTAAAAAGAGAAAGAGATGCAACTTTATGACAATGGGAAAGCAGGCCTTCTCGGAGGAGGCGATCGCGTGCCTTAAATGACCACTCATAAAGTTCTTTGTTTAAACAACTTGACCACGGCTCTTTGCAAGTTTTCATAATTAGTACATTTAAAAAATGCTCTAAAAAAAACAAAACAAATTAAAATTAAAATAAACAATCCATAACCTGAAAAGAGAATAACATCATTAAAATAATATATAATACAAAAATTAACCTAAAAAAATAAAATGTTTAAAGAATGATAAAATAAATAAAGGAAAATCCAGGAAAAAAATCAAAACATTTATTAATTAATGTAAACTTAATTGTTTACATTATCAATTTTAAATTACACTCTAATAATCTTTATCATTCCTTCCCATGAATAATTAGGCTAATACAAGGGCGAATCCATTGTGAGGGAAAGGGTCCCCCCCTCCCCTCACATTTTTTGTTTATTTTTATAGAAATTGATGCTTAAAAATGTAAGTAACTTAGGCTGTTTAAAAGTGCCATGAAATTTAATAAAATTTTATGGTACAAGTTTAAAATTTTATTAAAAAGTTAATAGGATACAGGGTGGAACAAATCGACAAATGTGCGCGCATTTCTTAAAAGACAGACATCACGTTTCTTTAATTTTGCTTATGCAAATGTTGCTGTTTGATTAAGATTTTTCAAAACGAATGCATTACTTCAGCAATTTTTTTCAAAATAATTTTTCAATCATTATTTTTTTATCTATTAAAAAAAAAACATATTTAAAATGAAAAACAATTAATTTCAGAGACTTAAAAATATGTTCGCTATATAGAATAAAGTAATTATGTTTTAGCGTGGTCTTTGCATGCGCTCACAACAGCATAATTTTACTTAAAGTGAATGCTTTTGCAAAAACTTCAAAAGAAACTGTGCTTAAACATTTTGATTGCTTTCTTTTATTGAAAAAAGTGATCATAATGTTTAACCATGGTTTCTTTTATGTTTTTAGCAATTACATTAAAAGTTTAAAGCAAATGTATTCATTATAAATAAAATTTAGCATGCTTTTTTTTTAATTTTCTTATTTGTTTTTTAATTTTCTTATATTAAACAATGTTTGTTTGCATATTAAAGTTTTTTTATTGTGCATTTATCATTAATTTGTGCGCACTTTGCAAATGTGTAAAAAGAAGGTTTTTGAAAAATAAAATTTGAATAATTTTACCAAGCTTCTATTAACCAACAGGTGAGCAGCAGATAAATCAATTAACATAGATATATTTAATAACTTATTAACTAGAATAAAAGTTATTTGAATTTTATTTGACATAATTCTCTTAAATTAGACGTTCATCAATAAATAAAGATATGTCACACCCTGGGATAAAAAATAGATGGCAGATGCAATTGTTTCAAGATTATTGTGATTCCTATTTTTTAGTAAATAGTTTTTTAATTAGAAATTATATTTCCATGATAAAACGGTTTGTAATTATTTTTTGATAGCTTCTGTACTCATTTTGCCTTAATTCTTAAACTCTAATCTGAATATTTTTTTCAATGATTGTCTTTAATTAAGTTGCATTAAAGTACTCAGGAAATTTTGTGGCAGTTTAATTGTAATTATAAAATCAATTAAATTAAAAATCGCATTTACATTTGCTTTGTTTGTTTTTTTACGCATTTTTTATCAAAACTTGCAAAACGCGCTAATTATAAAAACTTGCAAAGAGCCGTGGTCAAGTTGTAAAAACAAAGAACTATATGGGTGGTCATATAAGGCGTGCGATTGTATGCCTCTGACAAGAAGGCCTGGGAAAAAGGCTCAAGCTTAGCAGATAGAGTGGGTCCAACTACGTTTACAATGCATTTGTAAAATGCATTGTAACTGTAGTAAAGAAAGAGCATCATTAGAAAAACCAGCTTAAATATGACAACAGTATTGCATACAAGGGCAGTTAACAGATTTGTAGAGGTAGAGAATGGAATCAGGATAGAGAAAATGGCAAGCATAATAAAAAGAAGCCACCTTAACAGATATTAATTTAACAACTGATTGTATATATGGTTTCTATAAAAGGTCAGTATTAAATAATAATCCAAGAAGCCATTAAGAAGTGGACTCAGTGATAGGGTTGCTATTAATTAATATAGGAATGTCAACAGTATTACAATAGTTTTTTGCAATAAATAACTGAATTTTTTTTGGAGTTAAAATTTACAAGTGATATTGGATTCAAGATGGGCTGTCTGTTTTAAGCAATCGAAAAGAGAAGACTTTTTGTCAAGATAGGAGGATAGAGTTGAATTATTAGCAAAAAGAGATACTTTAGATACTTTAATTTGTCTGGAAGATCATTAATGTAGATAAGAAGCAAAACAAGACCAAGGATAGGTCCTTGAGGTGCCCCAGAAGTTACTGAAAATAAAGAAGTGTGTTGGTCTTCTAGGATGGCTTTATTAAAGCGGTTAGAAAGAATTGATTTGATAATCTCAAAAACTTTCCCAGATACACCATATGAAATAAGCTTATGGAGAAGACCAGCATGCCAAACTTTGTTGAAAGCTTTAGATATGTCAATAGCCTTAGCCTCTCTGCCTCCATTTAATGCATGATAAAATATTTTAGTCACAATAATAATATATAATATAGTATATATATGTAAAATATAAAATAATGAACTTGTGGGTTGTTAAAAATCCTTGTTAAAAATTGCCTACTCAATTATTTTGTGCCCAATAGGAATCCAATATAAGCAATAGGTGTATAAAATCATGTTTATAGAAAGTCTAATAATTTTTTTTCAATATTGGCCTATTTATGATAAAGTCTGGATATAATATTGACAATTAATCTGGGCATAATATTGACAATTAATCCGGACATAATATTGACAATTAATCCAGACATAATATTGACAATTAATCTGGACATAATATTGACAATTAATCTGGACATAATATTGACAATTAATCCGGACATAATATTGACAATTAATCTGGACATAATGACAATTACAATGACATAATGACAATTATGTTTTGTTTTTTGACAAATTTGATTTGCGTTTTCTAAATCTACTTTTTAAGAACAAGCTATTTAAATGCACAAAATTTTTCAATTTCTTAACAAAAATATCAAATTTTAGCATTATGATTTTTTTTTTTTTCAAATTAATTATGGCATTACTATCTTTAAAAAATTAGGTATAAAATTAATTTCTTAATTAAGTTAAAAACATTTCTTTTAGAGGGAAATAAATATTAAAATGGTGCTCTCTCATGAACCACATTAAATATTAATTTAAAGTAGCTCATTTCAAGACTTAATTTTTATACAGGGGCGATTCTATGTGTGTGAGGGTGTGTCATATAACCCAAACAATGTGATTTTCAAGTTATAGTCGGTTTTTTGAGGTATATAGTCTCATTTAATTCCTAGAATTGCCCCTGCTTATATATATATATATATGTATATATATATATATATATATATATATATATATATATATATATATATATATATATATATATATATATATATATATATATATATATATATATATATATATATATATATATATATGATGATAAACATCTGTTTATATATAACTTTTAAATTTAAAATTAAAAAAAGTTGTATATAACTTTTAAAACAGTTCATGTAGTACTTGGTTATTTGTAAATAATTTTTAGTTATAAATGTTTTTAGAATGGGAATCCAGTTTCTTTTATTTGGGCATTTGGTAGTAATGAAACTCCAAACCTCACAGATAATCTGCATACTATAAATGGAAATTTAGAGTTTGAAAATGTGTATATATTGAATAATACAGACAAACAACCACAAAATGCACTGACCACTTCAATCACTTATAATGTGCAAACCACCACACCAAATAATTTATTTAATGATACTTCTAAATACTCTCTAGAACAAACTGCAAGTAAAAAACAGAGTAATATATTCAATTTAGAGAAATCCAATGCTAATGAAACCGAGCTAAGACAACCCATTGCTGAGACTGAGCCAAATAACTTTGATGGTAAAAACATTCTTTATTAATTATGAAGAAAAAAAATGTGATTATCTCTAATATTCATATCTTATTTAATATTTATATCTTGTTTAATATTTATATCTTATTTAATATTTAAATCTTATATAATTTCTCTAGATTTTATTCCTTCATTTGTTGCTTTTATTTTAGTCACATATTTTTCATCAGGTGAAAATTGCAGTTGTTCTTTTTGCAATTGCTCGTCTAGTAAGTAAAAAGTTTTTTCTATAGAAATAATTATAAATGATAAAAAAAATTATAAAAATAGTTTTATATTTTCCTTTGAAATTTTATTTATTCTAATAATTTTTAAGTTTTTTTTTTTTTTTACAATAGTTGTTAAGTGTATCATGTTGGGTCTCAAATAAAGCGAAATTATATGTGTGTGTTTCTATATATATACAATGCTCAAACTGGAGGGAAAAAAAATGACTTTTTTATGTACATAAGACTGAGGGAATTTCTATGTACATAAGACTGAGAAAACATAGTTTGTCAATTTTTATGTACACAAGGCTGAGAGAACATAATTTATCTTTTTTAGCTGAGAAAAAGATATTTCTCAAGATTTTTGCAATTTGCAGCAATCATACTTAGAAAATTTTAAAATTGCTTCTACATTAGAGAATGCTGATTGGACACTATCATAAAATATTATTCTGATCTGTCTGACCTGATCATATTTTGCTAAATCATAGGCTTGATTGTGTCTAACATATCAATGAAAATACTTCATTTCTTCTACAACATTTATGTTTTCATCTTCAAAATCTCATCTTCTGCAGCTTCAAATTTTGTTAAAAATGAAAGTTTTATTGCAGCATTATTGTATACTGAGGCTGTCTCTTCCAGACTCTAATGTAACCATCACAGGTATAAATGCTCTTATTCTAAATTTGTCTCTTGACTTCAGGTCATCTAAAGCATCACCTTGGTATTATTCCTTCTATACTTGCTTTTCTTTCTTGAAAGTTGTTCATGTGTGGTCCTGAAAGTTATTCATGTGTGGTCTTGAAAGTTGTTCATGTGTGGTCTTAAAAGTTGTTCATGTGTGGTCTTGAAAGTTGTTCATGTGTGGCCTTGAAGGTTGTTCATCTGTGGTCTTGAAAGTTGTTCATGTGTGGTCTTGAAAGTTGTTCATGTGTGGTCTTGAAAGTTGTTCATGTGTGGTCTTGAAGGTTGTTCATCTGTGGTCTTGAATGTTGTATGAGTAATTGTTAGTTGTATAGTTGTGTAATTGAAAATGGTATGAGTAGTTATAAACAAAATTATATTCTGCTTAATATCAAGTGTTAATTTATCATCTTAAGTTTTCTTGTAAATTTTTTGCAATTACAGTTCGTGACAGGCTATAAAAAGATTCATCGAAAAGATTTTATTATATAAATCTTTTTTTTAATCTAATTCTACATATTGAGATTTATCTGTGATAACTCTGTATATGTAGATATCACACATCTCTACATATTTAGACATCTACCACACATCTTCACCAATCTAGATATCTAGCAGATGTCTTGGCCTATTTAGATTCACTTTCTAGTTTTATTTAGTTTTTTTTTCTGAAATATTTTTTATCTAAAAGGTTTTTATCCGAAATTAACTTTTCTGAACTTTTAAAACAATTGACACTTTTTCTGATTTTATTAGTTGTACAATTTGAACAAATAACTTTAAACATATTTTGTACAAATAATTTTAAATGTTTTGGGTTCAGAACTTATGCGCATATCCACGAATATATATGCATACCATTCAAAAGCTATGCACATAATTATGCGCATAATATGCACATGATGTGCATACAAATTTAACAGATAAATGTGGTATATGAAATTAACTAAATATTGTCATATATAGAAGAAAATGTTTTTTAACAGATAAATGTGGTATATGAAATTCAAAAAAAAGAAGAAAATGTTTTTTTAAATCAAATGCAGGCGATTTAAAGTTAATATAAAAGAAATTTTTTATTTGATTTTCTGTACATAATTTTATTAGTAAATATTTCAAATTATTTTCATGATTTTTAAACAAATTTCTATATCACAAAACTTAACAATTTAATTTATTTTTGAATTACATTTTCTCATTTATAATTTCTTCACACTTAAACTTGCTGTGAACTGCCCCTTCCTCTAAAATGTAGTCCTTTTTGTCTAATGTATCCAACAAAACGCTATTTGCCTTTTCAAGCAATTTCTCAATCGTGAATGAATAAATCAAAAAATCAACCAAGTTCTTGCTGCTGTTACTGGTGAACAAATTATTTCAACAATAAATTTTGCTAACTCAAAGACTGCTGGATATTTTTGACGACCAACAATGTTCCAATATTTCTTTGCACTTATTTTAAAAATTGTGTCTTTTTTTTTTCTGTCAGTGTTGTCATTTCTTCAACAAATCCAATCATTTCACTTTCAACTGTCTCAGCAACTGTTGGATTTGTTTTGGAGGCTAATTCTGAAATTAAACTGGTTATATCAGTCTTATCCTCACCAAAATAGAATCCTTCTGCAGCATATTTCAGTGTCAGCATATAAGCAATTTTCATATTTGAGGTGATAAGGAATTTAAAGCACTTCATAACCATTTCCTGAATATTTTTCTCATTTGCGAATTTCTTGTACATTTTACCAAAATAATATTACACCAAAGCTAATGGAGCATTATCTTTTTCAAGTCTTCTAATGATGTTAGAAGGATATTCGATATCTTTCACAAGTTTTTCCAAACTATCCCAGAAACCATTTGATTTAATTTGCGTCAAAACAGCCGCTGAATTTGTTTTTGGAGCAATTTCTTTCAAAGATGCATTTTCCTCCTCAGCAAGTTAAATCAAAGAGATATAATAGCTGGAGGGAAAATGAAGCCGAAAGTGATTTCAAATCCGATATAGTCTTTGTTGTATAATTATTCCAACAGCAAGTCAAAATGGCGCTTTTGCAAAAACATTTTCAAAATGTAATTTGTAAGCTCTGAAAGCTGTAATCGAAGTGGTTTAATCTCTTGGAAATTTATTGGATAGGTTTTTAACAACTATTCAATCAATTAAGAAGTTAATTACAACAAAAATCACGATTAAGGCTAAGTAATTGTTTGTCGCACATCTCCTTTATAGGTATAAATATCAAAGTTTTAGACAATCTTTACTACCTGTTTGAACTTTTTTTTTTTGCCATTTGTTGCCTGTTCAGCTCTAGGTTTGTTACATTCTTTAGGCTTGTCATGCGTGATAATGCGTCTGAACTTTTATGGACCGAAAGTCTTGATTACTTCAATGATTGCACCAGTAACAGCTGCAGCATTTTGATTTATACCTGATGTGTTAATTGAAGTATAGAAAAACGATTTTGCATTTGGTGTCTTGATACAAAAATTTACTATATGATCGCCACCAATATTTGTCCAACCGTCACAAAGAAGCGTTAAATTTTCAGATGATTCGAAAATTTCTTCCAACTTAGTGAGCATTCTGTATACTTTTTATCAAAAAGCGAACCTGACAGCGTTTTTGCACACAGTATTGACGATGCAGACGATGGATTTAGTGCTTTGATCAAATCCTTAAAAGCTTTAGATTCAACAAGATGAAGAGATATTCCAGTTCGGAAAAAAAAATTTGTTAATTTCATATCGATTTCTTTTTTATAATTCTTTTATAATTACTAACTTAAAGTTATTATCTATAAAAATGCCTTAATTAAAGAAATTTAATAGTGGAATTAAAAGTTGTTAACTTTTAATTCCACTATTAAAACTGATGATTTTTTTGTTCCAAAAGCGCATTAATTAAAGATTTTATAAAAATTAGAATTAAAATTTGTTTTTTCGTCTGTCTGTCTAGTCAAAACAATTTAACATTTTTTGATAATTTGAAATCGGAAAAAAGTTACACTCATAATTATGCAAATATATGCGCAGAATTTATCGTCAAATATCTGCACATACAAATTTTTCCGAACCCTAATTTTGTACAAATAACTTTAAACATGTTTTGTAAAAATAACTTTAAACATGTTTTTCCATAGATTATGAGATTTTTAGTATATGAGATTTATATATAGTTATGAGATTTTTTTTTATGGTTATGAGAGTTTTTTTTTTTAAGTTTCTATTTGGCTTACCGCACTTCGTGCTAAACAGAATTCTGTCTATCTGGGAATTGTTGGTGCTTCTGGTTTACTGACTGGGCTCATTGTTTTGTTTATTGTTTGCTCTTGTTCTGTGAAATCAGTAAATAAAAGAAAAAAAGTGGCTTTTTATAAAATGTAAGTCAAGTAATTTTTTTATTGTATTTTTTTTTTGTGTTTTTTTATTTATCTATTTGATTCGGACAATAAGTACAGACAGTCAAAGCTACATAAGGTTCATAGTTAAGTTTAACACAATGAAATAATAGTACTGTTTATTGTATGCACAGCCACATTAGTACTGGCTAAGTAAAACAATAAAGTATGTAAAGTAAAAAAAGTTTGGAAAACACATTGTAAAACCTAAACACTTATCATAGCTAAAATACATTTTAATAGGGTACCATTTTGGTGACGTCAAATTGTTTGTTTGTCCGAATATCAATCCCACAACCACTAGCGTTTTTAAGAAATTCTTTTGTTTCTGTGTAATGTTTGTCCCCATTTCGATCCCAAAAAGCTTTGCAAAAATCTATTTTTAGAACTGTAAAATATTTAACTTCTCTACTTATATCTGCATCATTAAATCATTTTTAATTAGGTGACCAAGATAATTAAATTTATCAAAAAATAAATAAAAACTAAGTAAATAAATTGGATTAAACATTATGCACACTAAGTTCATTGCATTAAATAAAATAGTAGGATTCTAAATTTTTTTTGTTTCATGGCATGCCAAAAGAAAAGTATCACTTATATGACATCCAATTTGCTTTTCTTTGCTTCTAATATTAAAAAAAAATTTCAATATATTATGACAGTTTCCATATTTAAAATTTGAAAAAAGAAAGAGTTTTTTGTGGTACATCATTGCTTATGTTAAAAGTATCAAAGTGTGTATTTTAGTAAGTAAACAAATGAAATTCTTGGCAATGCCCTGATCAATTAATTTAGAAAATAATTGCCAATAATAAAAAATATAAAATCTATAAAACATTTAAATATATGGCTTCCTGTAGAAGTACAATAATTAAGTACAAGTCATTGAGACAAGTGATTTTGAGTTTTGATTTTGCTCATCAATGTTATCATGTGATTTAATTCTTTTTAATTAAATACTTAGTAAAAGAAATTGAAGATTGAACTTTGCTAAAGAAAGATTTAAGAGCAAGTTAAATACTATCAGTGTTTCTTTCTATTCAGTGGCTGACACAAATTCATATGATATAAATAAAATTTAAACTAAATAGATTGTTGTTTAAAGACTGACAATTGACTGAATAATGTCAATATATTGTTTGTATCCATTTCTAAGTTAAAAGTATTGCCTCACTAATAAACTCTTTGGCAAAAATTTTTATTTAATGACATGCCAAGAGAAAAATATTACTTATATGACATCCAGTTTGCTTTTCTTGATTCTAATATTAAAAAAATATTTTTTAGACCATGTGTTTGGTAATATAAGGCGATCAATTGTACCCTTCATGTCAACACAAACAAAGATATAGAATGACAAATATCTTTTCGTGTATTGTTTTTTAACACTTAACAAATTTATTAAATCCCAAAAATAAATTACATTCTATAATATTGTTTTTTCAACACTTGACAAATTTATTAAATCCCAAAAGCAAAATACATTCTATAATATTGTTCTTTGTAGTATTAAAGACGCAATGCAAATATATTGACAGTTTCTTTGTTAGCGCTTCCTGTAGATTTCAACTTTATTTCTCCTTGCTCCTTCATGCACCTTCTGTTTCTTTGGTTGTGCAGTTTTTTGAGCTAGTTGTTTAATCTGCTTTGTAGGTTTTGAAACTTTTGTCAATATCTTGTCAAATCCTTTGTCAATTTCAGAACTAAGAGTATATGAAAACCAATTACTTATTGGTCAAAAGTCTTCATATTGTAAGTGTCCTTCACTTCAGCACAAAGATATGCTACCTCTTGTAGAAGTTGTAAAATTAAAAAAATTGCTACTTGATTTTCTACTAATTTATTATATATATTGATATTTAATTTATTATTAATATTATATAATAAATTAATATTTATTATATATATTATATGTAATAATATATATTATTATTATATATATATAATAATAATATATATTATTACATATAATATATATAATAAATATTAATTTATTATATAATATTAATAATAAATTAAATATCAATATATATAATAAATTAGTAGAAAATCAAGTAGCAATTTTTTTATATATAAATATGTATATATAAATATACATATATATATATATATATACATATATATATACATATATATGTGTGTATATATATATATATATATATATATATATATATATATATATATATATATATGTATATATATATATATATATGTATATATATATATATGTATATATATATATGTATATATATATGTATATATATATGTATATATATGTATATATATATATATATATATATATATATATATATATATATATATATATATATATATATATATATATATATATATATATATATATATATATATGTATACATAAATTGTCAGGGCCAGAGAATTTTTGTACAAGGGTGTCAAGAAAGCCATATATATAATATCTATGTAATTGTCGAAATTAATTTTATCAAATTAAAGTCAAAGTGGGTGTAAAGCTTATATTTTAATTTTTATTGATAAATCAAAACAAAATTCAGTTTTAAAAAATGCCAATGAAATAAAAAAGATATAACCTACAAAAATGTATTCATAAATCCGAATGTGACTGAATCTGAATGGTACAAATCAAAACTATTGCTTTGATTGTTTATAAAACTATTGAGAGAAGAGTGTAAAAAACTAAATAATGACAACATTGTCATAGCAAACTCTACATATATATGCATAATTTTTAATGTATTCTACGAAAAACGTTTATGAAAGAAATCAGATTTCTAATGTGTTCATAATACCAACACAAAAAGCATAATACCAATAAAAGTGTGAAAAATATTTCTTTGAAAGAAATTAAGTATTTTACACGCGTTGTACGGTTAGCAGGTGATCATATGGCCTAGAACTAGGTAAATAATTTCTTTTGCATTATTATTTTTTATATCAGCACCCAATTTAGTTCAGCTTGTTTATTTGTACTTATCTTGCAACAAAAACAACAACAAGTAATCAGTTATTTATTTTCATTAATTGAATTGGTGAATGTTTAAAGGGCGGAAGTCCAATAATGCAAACTTTTGTGAAACTTAGAAAAGTTTCCCCCAGAGTAAATTTTTGTTAATGGTTCAATAATTATTTTTTTTTTGAAGATGAAAAACGTCCTCTTCAAAAAAAAAACAATCAAAAAGGGTCATCAAAGTTATCTAATCATTCTAATGATTAGACTTACATTTAATGAATCATTTATCGTCTTCTAAAAAACATAAGAAATTAAATTATATCAAAATGGAAGTTATGAATTATTTTCATGTCATGTCAATGTGGATTGGCAAAATGGATTTAAAAGTAAATTTATGAATAAAATGTATAATTTATTTTATTTATAGATTATAAAACTGAACTATTTTATCCCAAGAATTAATTATCAAAATAGAAGGAATAAAAACATATAGGTATATAGATTACTCCTAAATTGAAACATAAAATATGAAATAAAAATAATATATGAATCAACAAAAACTGAATATGATTAGTTAAAAACAATGATATCAAGAACAATATAAAATAATCAGAAAGTACTGTAGCTAGCAAATTCAAATCAAATCTTAAATTGTTTTATAAGTATATCAAAAAAAAGAAAACAGTGAAAACAGTGAGCTCTGGAAAATGAAAATGGTGAAATCATAAATGATCAATTCGCTACTGAACTAAATATAGAACTAAATAAATTCTGTGTATATTTATGATAATGATACAAGTATTATTGAATTGCAAATTTAAAAAACCTTTAAATTTATTATTAGACACAGTTCTAATAACACAAAATGATGTTCAAACAAGACTTTAAGAACTTGATAAGTTGAAATAGGTCAGTTTTGATTTTGTTTATCGTTATATTTTGAAAGAATGCAGCTCATCAATATCATATCTGTTATACTTAGTGTTCAAAAAATTGATTGAAACAGGTACCCTACCAGATATGCATAAGATTGCAAATGTAATGCCACTTTTTAAAAAAGGAAGCAAATAAAAGCATCAAACTACAGACCAGTCTTGTTAACTTCAATGCCGTGTAAAGTGTTAAAAAGAATAATAGCTGATTGTATTATGCAACACCTGATATAAATTAATTTATTTTCAAAAAAACTTTTTATGATTTTTAAAAAGGTTTTATGATAAACAAGAGCTGTTCAACAATTAATTAAGACATAATTATTCTTAAAATCTCATAATTTTAAACCTTTAAAGTTTATCTCATAATTTTAAACCTTTAAAGTTTATCTCATAATTTTAAACCTTTAAAGTTTATCTCATAATTTTAAACCTTTAAAGTTTATCTCATAATTTTAAACCTTTAAAGTTTATCTCATAATTTTAAACCTTTAAAGTTTATCTCATAATTTTAAACCTTTAAAGTTTATCTCATAATTTTAAACCTTTAAAGTTTATCTCATAATTTTAAACCTTTAAAGTTTATCTCATAATAAAGTTAGAATACCAAGATCTTTTAACAGATGGGTTTTGTTATGGAACACTGGTAGATGTATTGTACACAGACTTTAAAAAAAAACCTTTTGATAGTGTTTTACATGTAAAGTTATTATTCAAGTTATTGACTTCTGGTATTTCTGATAAACTTTTTAAGTGGATAGTCTGTTTCTTAGGTAACAGAAAACTACCAGTGGTTTTAGGTGAAAGTGTGACAAATTGGGTTGATGTACTTAGTGGTGTACCACAAGGGTCTGTTCTAGGTCCTCTCCTTTTTCTGGTACTTATAAATGATTCACCATAAAATTTTGTTAATGAATGTCGTTTATATGCTGATGATAATAAAATAATTGCACCTATTTCTTCTCAAAATGGTTCACAATTGTTTCAAAATGATACAATAAACTGGAGGAATGATCTATAAAATGGAAATTAGGATTTTGAATAGTATAAAATTATACACTTTGGTTCAAATAATAAAGAATATTGGTATTATATGA